CATCTATAAAATAGTCCAGTGTGGTTATAGAAGTAATTAAGATATTTTATGTAAAGGACTCCTATGCTTAGCCCATAGTAAGCACCCTATAATTGTTAGCTATTTTTAAATTAATTTTTGTAACTTCCTCGTGTTATAAAAATAACACCTTTACCTTGGCAGTATTACCTTACAGATGAGGAAACTGAATTTAGAGATCTTAAATTACCTGCAGGTCATACTTGCATTATTACCTTGCAGATGAGAAAATGGAATTTAGGGATATTAAGTTTCTTAAAAGTTATATTGCAAATAGTAGCAAAGCCAGTGTCTTAACCTGTAGGTCCCTGACTGTAAGCCCAGTGTCCTGAAAAATGTGTTGTGCTGTCCTTCCGAGGCTGAGTGATCTCACTGGTATGCTCAGATGTTTAATTGACCTGCCTAAGAGTTTCTAGGCCTAGGAGATACTACTGTGTTCTTTTCTGAGTATATCTTTTGTCCAAATGAAAGTGTAAGTGTATATATAATAGATAAGTCTATGTTGTCTAACTCATCTATGTTGTTACATGTCTCAATAATTAATTATTTTTTAATGCTGTGTAGTATTCCATAGTATGAATATATAACATTTTGTTTATGTATTTATCTGTTGATGGGCATTTGAGTGGTTTTCCTGTTTTAGGCTGTTACAGGTAAAGCTGCTGTGAACATTCATATAGATGTTTTTGTATGTACATATACTTCTTTTTCTCTTGGGTAGAACCTCAAAGGGATATGTTAGGTGCATGTTTTTTTAACTTATAAAACCTTGCTTGTTTCATGAAAGTGATTGTACATTTAATTTATCTACCATCAATGTGTGTGAATTCTAGTTTCTCTACATCCTCACCAATATTTGCAATTAAAAAAATTAAATTACTAAACTTGTTGCCAGTTGTTTTTATGTTAGTCATTATAATAGGTGCATAATGGTGATTTTAATTTTTATTTCCCTAATTACTAATGATGTTGAGCATTTTTATATGTGCTTATTTGACATCTACATATTTTCTTTGGTGAAATGATCATTGAATTCTTTACCTACTCTTAAAATTAAATTCTTGTTTTCTTTGTTATTGTGTTGTTTTTTTATATATTCTATATATAACTACTTTATCAGATATATGTATTGTGAAGATTTTTATCCCATTCTGTGGCTTCTGTTTTTATTTTCTTAACAGTATTTTAAAGATAATAGGTTTCCATTTTGCTTAAGTCAAATTTACTGTTATGTTTATAGATTTTATTTTATTTTATTTAAGAAATCTTGACATAAGTCATATGCACAAAGACTTTCTTCCACATTTTCTTCTACATGTTCTATACTCTCAGGTTTTACATTTAGGTCAGTAATTCATTTTGAGTTAATCTTTGTTATGTGACACAAAGTATGGATTCAAGTCATTTTTTTAACCTGTGTATACTCATTTGTTCTAGCATCATTTATTCAAAATGCTGACCTTTGTCATTTACATTGCCTTTCAGCCCTTGTTGAAAATCAGTTGTCCAAATATGTGTGGATTTATTTCTGGATTCTCTATTCAGTTCCTTGATTTATTTGTTTATATTTATATAAATATCATGGTATTTTGATTTCTCTAGTATTTTAATAATTTTTGACATCAGGTAGTTTTAGCTCTCTAACATTGTTACTCTTTTTCAAAATTGTTTTCTTCCTTCTAGATCCTGTGTTTTTCCATATGAATTTTAAAGTCAGTTTGTCAATTTCCATAGGAAAGCCTGGTGGGATTTTTATTGGAATTGCATTGAATCCGTAGATGAATTTGGAAGAAAAAAAAAAAAAAGACATCTTAAAAATTTTATCTTTCATTTCTTTTAGCAAAATAGTATAGTTTTCAGTATACAGATCTTTCCCATCTCTTTTCATACTTATCCTTAAGGAATTCATAACAGAGTACTATTTTTACTGTTTAAAAAATTTGCTTTCAGATATTTTATGGCTGGTATATAGAAATGTAATTTCTTAGTTGTTTATCTTGTATCCTTAGCCTTCCCGAATTCACACATTAGCTTTAGGAGTTTTTTTTTTGTAGATTCCGTATGATTTTTTGCATAGACACTCAGGTCATCTCTAAATACAGATTTTTTTTCTACCTTTTTATGTTAATGACTATTATTTTTCTTTTTTCCGTTTTCTGTTTGCACTCCAGTACAATGTTAAGTGGATAGAACCTCCAATATAATGTTAATTGGTGAGTGAGTGTAACACCCTTCTTATTCCTGGTTTTAGAGAAAAACATTCAATCTTATCCTGTTAATATGATGGGAGCAGCTGTAAGGTTTTTGTATATAGATGCCCTCTATCAGGTTGAGCGATTTTCTTCTATTTCTGGTTTGCTAAGATTAAAAAAAAATAAGTAAAAATAAAAATAAACAATTGTTCAATAATAAAAATAAATGGATACTCCATTTTGTAAAAGGCTTTTTCTGCATTTATTAAGATGACCATGAAGTTTTTCTATGATGTATTATTATTTCATTTATAATTTTTAAATTTAATCTTTGAGGGGTATTAGTCTGTGATTTTATTTTGCCTGGCTTTTATATTTTATAGTGCTAGCTTCATAGAATGATTTGGGGAATATTTCTTTTATATATATTTTTTGAAATAGTTTAAAACTCCATGTAGTATTGATACTATTTCCATCTTAAATTTTAGATGAAATTCATTCAAGAATCTCTCTGGCCCTGGAGGTTTTTTGTTTTCTTTGTGGAAAGAATTTTAACCTTATTCTTAATTTCTTTAATAGATATGGGGTTAAGTTGTGTATTTGTTTTTGAGTGAGCTTTGAGAATTTGTGTTGTTTAAGAATGTTGTCCATTTCATCTGAGTTGTCAAGTTTACTGGCGTATAGTTGTTCATAATGTTCTCTTATTATTCTTTTCATTTCTATATTATCTGTAGTGATGCCACCTTTCTCATTCTTGATATGGATAATTAATATCTTCTCTTTTTTTTCTGATCAGTCTGCCCAGAGGTTAATCAATTTTATTAATTTCAAAGAATCATTCTTTTCTGTTTTCTGTTTCATTGATGTTTATAATTATTTCCTTTATTCTTCTTTGGTTTTGATTTTCTAATTTTTTATTTTAGAAGATAAAGTCATTCTTTTAAAACCTTTTTTTCTTTTTTTAATTGCTAATTTTTTTAAGTTTTATTTGTAATTGACAAATAAAGGTACCATTTGATGTTTTAATGAATGTATACATTGCATAATGAATGATCAAATGAGGCTAAGTAGCATATTCATCACTTTAAATATTTGTTATTTCTTTATGATAACATTCAAAATTCTTTCTTCTAGCTATCTTGAAATATGCCTTATTATTTGCTAGAGTATTCTGTGTAATAGCACAACAGAACTTAATCATCCTGTCTAACTATAACTTTGATCTCATTCACCAACCATTCTCCATGCTTTTCTTTACCCGTCTTCTGTAGCTTCTGGTAATCACTATTCTACTCTCTACTTCTATGAGATGAGTGTTTTCAGGTACCACATATGAAAGAGAACTTGTGGCATCTTCTTTTTTAATATAGTAATTACTGCTACAGAATTTTCCCTAAGTATTGGTTTAGCAGCCTCTACAACTTTTGACATAATAAATCTTTATTTCCTTTCAGTTAAGAATACTTACTAATTTCTATTTTGATTTCTTCTTTCATCAGTGGTAAGAAGTGTGCTATTTTAGGAGTTGTGCTATTTTGTTGCAAATATTTATATATTTTCTAAGTATCTTTATAATAAAGATACCTAATTTAATTCCATTGCACTCAAGAGAATATGCTTTGTATGACTGTCTTCCTTTTCAATTTATTAAGACTTGCTTTTGATCAAGAATATAATATAACTTAAATGTCCCAAGAGCAGTGGAGGAGAACGTGTGTTCTACTATTGTAGATGATTAAGTGTCAACAGGTCAAGTTGGTTTATAGTGCCATTCAAGCCTATGGTAGCCTTGCTGATTTTCATGCCTCCTTGTTGTACAGATTTTGAAGAGTTGTATTGAAATCTTTGCCTATTTCCCTTTGTATGTCTTCAGTTTTTACTCATGTATTTTAAAGATCTGTTATTAGGTATACAAATATTTGGGACTGTTATATCATGTTGATTAATTTACCTTTTTGTCATTATGAAATGACTTTCTTTTTTGCTGGTAATATTCTTGGCTTCAAAGTTTATTTTTTTGACATTACTATAAACCATTCCAAATTTCTGCCAGTAATCCCAACCAGTGTTTTGTTTACTCTCAGATCATTTAGTTTTCATCTAAGACTTCTATAGGAAAATTTTAGGAAAAAATTATTTAACTATTCTGTGTCTTAGTTTCTTTCTGATTAAAGGACACAATAAGAGTATCTACACTATAGAATTGTTTTGAGGATTAAACAAGGAAATAATATCAAAGATTCTACACCTGCAAATGTTGTAGTACAAACTGTATAAGTGTAGTTTATGGCTTTTGTTCTTACTGTTACTGCTGCATTTTTTAAAAGTTTTTTAAAAAACACATGAAATAGAATTTGCTATTGATTTATATCTTCAAGAAGTATCTTGTTTGCTGTCTAGTCATCTTTAATCTAGACTAGATAAATTAGAACTTCATCATGAAATCTGTCAATGAATATGAACTCAAAAAATACCTGTATTTAATTTGTTTTTTTACATTACTAATTTGCCATCTTTTTTTACTTAAGAATTGTATACTAAAATTTAGCTATAGTGTAATCACATTTTCCAAATTTATTGTTTCCGTTTAAAGTATATTAGAATTGTACAATATTTTTCAGTTATTCTCAACTGCATATACCTCTGTTTAAATAAAACACACATTGTGAAACTACAGATTAGTCTCTTTAAAAAAAAAACCAGCTGAAATAAATGTTTGCAATGAATGATTTGTGTGGGTCCTTCACATTGTTACTATTTATAATGGGTGATGCTTTTTTTTTTCTTTAGATTGGACAGCTGGCTTTTAAAGGAATGAAGAGACTCAATAGAATCCAGTCAATAGTGTTTGAGACTGCCTACAACACCAATGAGAACATGCTGATTTGTGCCCCTACAGGAGCTGGAAAAACCAATATTGCAATGCTTACGGTCTTGCATGAAATTCGCCAGCATTTTCAACAAGGTGTTATCAAAAAGAATGAATTCAAGGTAGGTAAATAAATCAGACAACAGCTTTTTAAATTTTAAGGAACAAAATAAATTTGCTATATTCTTAAAGATATTGTACTTAAAGTCAGATAAGTAATACTGCTTGATTTATTTCATTACTATTAAGGCAGTCCTTATTTGTGTTATGAAAATTCTATTACCATGTAAGAAACTATGAAAATACATTTAGCTTTGAAACCAAACCAATTTTCAAAGTGATGCAGCTGTGTAAACCAATTCTATTTGTTCTTTAAACAGGTACAAACATATCTCACAACGATAAGACTTTTCATGCATCAATTAAGATTTTTCACTGGAAGTAGTTAGAATCATATTTTACAATAAATTGTGACTTGTCTTAGCTACTGTGAGACAAATGATATTGTGGTTTTTGCTCATTAATCAAGCTAATGTTCTTTGGTATAGATTGTATATGTTGCTCCAATGAAAGCCTTGGCAGCTGAAATGACAAATTACTTCAGCAGACGTCTAGAACCGCTTGGCATCATTGTGAAAGAATTGACTGGTGATATGCAGTTGTCAAAAAGTGAAATTTTACGAACTCAGGTATGTTGTTTACCTAGATTTTTTGTTTAGTACCATTCTTTTTTTTAGGAATTGTGAAAATTATTAAATGATTATATCTTAAATAACTAGAATACATAGTACAAACATAATATAATAAACTTTTATTTGTAACCACACCATATCTCTGTACTACAAAGAGCTTTTGCTGGTACTTTGTTTTCTAATATCCCTTATGATTCTTGTGATTCTTACTGCATCTTGAATATTGTTAGATTCCAAGTCTATTGGCACCGAGGCTGTTCTTTTAAAATAGTAGGGAATGAGGATATAGGTAAGACTAGAGTTTAATTTTAAGAGGAGGGAACTATGTAGATCTTAAAATGATTGCACTAGTATCCCAAACCATTCCATAAGAATGGCTTAACATATAGTAAAGCTTTTTGGCCATTCATTATTTCATCAAATACACAGTTATTATTATTAAATCATGCACTGTGTATGGCACTATATTAGATGACATGAATGAATGCATGACAACAAAGACAACTAAGATACAGTTCCTGTCTTCAAGAATTTTATGACTAAGTAAGAAAAAAATATTTAGGTTTCAACTAGATAACTATTATTAAAAGCAATATGTAAGTAAGGTGAGTTTCATTGTGTTTTTAAAAAATGAAATAGTGGATGACCAGATATTATGGAAGAATTCATAGTTTGATGGAAAATAGATAATAGAACTTTAGAAATGATGAGTCAATACTGATTTAATATGTGATTGGAATGTGAATTAGTTTCCTAGGGCCCCTATAGCAAAATACCATAAGCTCAGTGGTAAAAACCAAAAGTATCTGAGACAGGTCTCAATCAATTTTGAAAGTTTATTTTGCCAAGGTTAAGGTTGTACCAGTGACATAACCTCAGGTGGTCTTGACAACATGTGCTCAATGTGATCGGTTTATACATTTTAAGGAAACATGAGACGTCTGTCAATATATGTAAGATGTACATTGATTTGGTCTGGGAGGGCAGGACAACTCAAAGTGGGGGCTTCCAGAGCATAGGTGGATGTAAAGATTTTCTGATTGGCAATTGGTTGAAAGAGTTATTATCTAAAGAAAGGAATGTGGAGACCAAGGTTTTATCATGCAGATGAAACCTATCCATTCAGGGAGAATAGATTGTAAATGTTTCTTATTATACTTAAAGAGTCTGTTCTATCAGTAATTCCAAGAGGAAGGACAGTATAATAAGGTATGTCCTGCCCTCACTTCCTTCCCATCATGGCCTGATCTAGTTTTTCAGGTTAACTTTAGAATGTCTTTGCTGAGAGGAAGGATCCATTCAGATGGTTGCAGGGCTTAGAATTTTATATTTGGTTTACAGTGTGTTAAAACAATAGTCTTAATTCTCTCATATTACCGGAGTTTAGAAGTCTGAGATCAAGGTGTCAGCAGAGTTCATTCCTTCGAGAGGCTTTGAGAGCATATCTGGTCTATGCTTCCTAGTTTCTGCTGGCTGGTGGGAATTTTTGGCATTCTTGGGTTTGTAGATACATCACTCCAAGCTCTGCTTCTGTCTTTATGTGACCTTTTCCCCTGCTTATGTTTTCCCCCACTCCCCTTTTTCAAGGATATTGGTCATTGGATTTAGGGCCCACCATAATCAGGATGATCTCATCTTAACAACCTTTCCTTAATTACATCTACAAAGACCCTTTTTTCAAATAAGGTCACATATATGGACTGAATGTTTATATAACATCTCCCTGACCCCCAAACATAATTTATATGTTGAAGTCCCAGTCTACAAGTAATAGTGTTTGGAGGTGAGGCATTTGGGACATAATTGGATTTAGATTAGATCATGAAGTGGAGAGGACCTGTATGATGGGATTAGTGCCCTTATAACAAGAAGAGACCTTTTTCTCTCTACACCTACCAAAGAAAAGCTGTGTGAGCACATAGTAATAAAATGACTGTCTAAAGCTAGGAAGCCAGCATTCAAGAGACATCAAGATGTTAAATCTGGGTGGTCTGCACATGTACCCCAGAACTTAAAGTATAATAATAATAAAAATAATAAAGTCCAAATTTTTTAGTCAGGGAAAAAAAACAGGGTGAGATTCCATCTCAATAAATAAGTAAATAAATAAATAGAAATATTGATAGACTTAATTCACAAAGACAAAGCTCTTTGTGACTTGAATAGTTTAAAAATTACAGAGGAGCCCCAAAGTCAAAACAGTTTGAAAACTACTATGATAGGAGAAAGCTCCTTATATGTGACATTGGATTCCTTTTATTATATATTTCCAGCCCGATTTCCAACCTTTTCTCACAGATGCTTCCCAATATAAACTATAGCCAGGCCATTTTTGCTTTTTCTAAAATAGCATTGCTCAAGTAATGTTTTCTTAAGTGATTATTGCTTTTTAGCAAGTTTCCTCATGTATTTTCTCCTTTTTCTTAATATCTTCCTTTACCTATTGACATTTGTTCACATCTTGCCCATTCTTTAAAATCCAGTTCAAACCTTGTATTTACTTCTTCTCCCCTGATTCCTATAGCACCATTCATTGATATTCATAAAATAATACCTAGTGCCCAAAATCTGTGCTTTTGGACTGACATAGTCTTAAAATCTGGATCACTCTCAAGTAAAATTTTAATTGCTCTTGAACTGTATCCAACTATGTTACTGATGCTAAAGAAAGAATGTTTATGAAAAGACAAGGGAGGTAACATTTGAATTCAATTTATTCAATTTATGAGTCAATCACTATGCTAAATGCATATGTACAACTTCCCTGAGTCTTCAAAAGAACACTATTGGTTAGTATCTCCATTTTACAGGAGCAGAAAGTAAAACCAAAAAAAACAAAAAAAGAATCTACTTAGATTTATGTATTTTCAAAGGTTTATGAACATCTATTTTTTACTCATTTGCCCATTTTTGCACTTTGCTAGACCCTGTATCCTTTGTCAGTATTTTTTGACTGTGTAAGGGCAGGGACTATGTGCTTGGCCTCAGAAATAATTTATTAATTGAACCTCCTGTCTTGTGCTTGCTCTAATTCCTGATACTTAGAGGTGCTAATTTTTATAGAACTGAAACTATATAGTTTCTAATCTTTTTACCCTGTCCTACCCATCTCACAGATTCTTACAGATTAAAAACTGTTCTGCTGTCACTGCCTTTGAGATTAGGCTGTAGATAGAGCAAAGCAGAGAATAATGTAAAGAATGTGGGCGTACATACTTACTCAACTTTTTATGTGGAGTTTGAATTTCTTACTTTCCTCACCCTCAATTTTATAATTTTTAATAGCTTCTTAATTATCCCTATTATGCATTTTTATAAATAAGTTTCCCAATAATCAGCATTGATTAAATTAAATATAATCTAAAATTTCCCCTTGTCATTTTTTCTGACTTTCTCAGTATTGTTAATCTTTTTTTAAATATAGGAAGGTAAATTAATCTCATTTGTAATTTTTTTTGCCATGCTGTTCTGATCATATTACTCTCTTGCTCATAAACTTTCATTGGTTCTTTATTGCTTATTGAATTAAGTCCAACTACCTAGTTTGTTAAGAATCTTGTATAAATTAAGTATAATATGGGATGTGATATATTTTGTGGTTTACTAGGGACCATCAGGTATAGCAGTAGTTATGATTTTATTGAGGTTTCAATGTAAAATTTTCTTTTACAAGACAGAACTATGTAATTCTAAGATTTACTGTTAGGAGAAACAATCAGTACAGACAACAAATATTTTTTTGGTGTGCAGCCAAAAAGCAATTTTGTGCAACTTTGAAAAGCACTATAAATTTGTCATGGTTAAAACACTCATCTACTTTTCCAACCTTATTTTTCACTATTCTGTATCTACCATTGGTTTTAAACTTCTCCCTCTAAATGTATCCTTGATGAAGAGTTACTATTTTATAACATTCACTGTACTTTTCAGTGCTGCCATTGAGCGGTGTTCCTTTCAACATCAGCGAAAACACTGGTCAGAAATTTTAGAAAAGATTTCTCCTGTCCTGGCAGCAACTATGTGTTAAAGCAAGACATTTGTTCTGAGTTTGAAATTGTTCTCTTCTTTTAGATTTGCTTGCTCATCCTTTTAGGGGGAGGCATTTACCTGTATGCCTTTGGGAGTAGAGATGGGTTATTTCAGGTTTTGTTTTTATTTATTTTTTGGTTGAGAATAGAGGGAGATTCTGTTAGATCTCTTAGGCCCAAGCAACTGTGAAGGCAAATCTGAATTTTCTTTGTATAACTCTGCTAGATCAAAGCTCCAGCAAGTGTGGTTGACGGGGCATGGGTGCTATATATATGCATGAGCTCAGATCATAGGCAATGTTCGATGTCACACTGCCCTGATCTACCTTTCTTTCAAAGGGATTTTTCCTATGATATGTAGTCTATTGGTTATTTCAATATATGGGATAAGGGTGGGAATAAATGGTAGATGGAGATAGGGGCAAATATTATATATGCCCAGGTTGCAGTTTTATCTGAATATCTGTAAGTTATATGCTTAATTCCCATAAATGTTCTGTTTAGTTCTCAGTCTGGCATTGTGCTTTTCACTTAAATTTCAAGCTGCTTTACTGGCTCTGAATCCCAGCTCTGAGATCTGATTTTGGGCACCCTTCACCAATTAAGTCATGGTTTTCTCTCCTCTTTTTTGCAGCCATAGTCATGCATGTTGGATTATACCCTTGGGCCAATAATCTCCAAATTCCAATTCTTACTGGCACTTGCTGCATTTCTGCGTAAAATCTGAGGATGTCTTTATTTCACTTCCATTCCTGAAGGACATTTTTGCCAGAAATAGATTCGTGGGTTGTCAGTTCTTTCTTCATTTTTTTTTATTTTTTAGAGACAAGGTCTCACTCTGTCACCAAGGCTGTACTACAGTGGCACAATAATGTCCCACTGCAGCCTCAGCCCTCTGCGCTCAAGCGATCCTCTCCTCTCAAACTTCTGAACAGCAGAGACTACAGGTGCATGCCACCGCATCTGGCT